TTTATTTTGACTTACAGTTTCAGAGGCTTCAGTTTATGATCACTTGGCCCTGTTACATTGGTGCCTTAGTTCATGAAGTTAATTCTTTCCACAATTCTGGTTGTGTGGAACAAATTCTGTGACCAGAATTGTGGAAAGAATTAAGTCTGTGAACTGAAGTACCACTATATTTTTGACCTGTGACAAGGCAGAATGTCATGGAGGAGCCTGGCTATTAACAACGTATAGACCAGGAAGAGGGAAAGGGGGGAGAAGGGGAAGGGGAGGCAACAGGAAGAGGAGAGAGAGAAAGGGCATTTTATATAAGGAGTATCATACAATGTGTGGTCTTTTGTGTCTAGCTTCTTTCACTTAGCATAATATTTTCAAGGTTCATCGCGTTGTACCATTGTCCTTGTCACTTTCCTCATCTCAGGGTCAAAATATCCAACTCACAGCTTCAAGGAGGAAAAGTTTATTTTGGCTCACAGTTTTAGTCCGTAGTTGGCTAGCTCCAGGGCAGAAACATAGAGGAAAGACATTTTTTCTTTATGTCTGAACAGACTTCATTGTATGAGTGATCCTAGTTTAGTTATTTTCCTGTGTGGGTCATTTAGGTGGTTTCCAGTATTTTCCAATTTTAAATGGTGCTGCAATCAATGATCCTGTGTTCTTGTACATTGTAAGCATATCTTCAGGGACGATGACTAACATTGGGAATTGCTGGGCCAAGAGGTGCATGACTGCACATGTGGTTTTGTGAGGTGTCCTCAGTTTCCTCTTTAGAATGGTTGTAGCAGTTGTTCTCACAGCGTTATAAGAAAATGCCTGTTTACCCATAGCCTTGCCAGAAGAGAGTGCTGCCGTACTTTCAAATTGTTGCTAATTCTTAAGGCAAATTCATCAGTCTCTTATTATCTTTGTGTTTTGAATAGTAGAAAGCCTTTCCCTAGCAAAGTTAAAGAGAAATTGGTCCTTGTCTTATTTTGTTACTTGTACGGTGTCCTTTTTTACGTTTACATTTTTAATCCATTGGGAGTTTGTTCTTATGTATGATAGTATTGGGTATGGATCTAATTTTGTCTTTTCTAACGTGACTGTCCAGTGGTTCTAGCACCATTTATTTAAGAAGACCATTCCGGGCCTGGTAATTTGAGATCCCACCATTATGCTCTGTGCTGGGGTCTATATCTGGGCTTTCTGCATGTCTGTCATACCAACTTCTCATTATGGGCTTGATGGTATGTTTCCTTGTCTAGTGGGATGGGTAGTCGTTAATTTTCTGGGTTTTTTTTTTTACTTTGTTTGTTTGTTTTCTGGCTACTCTTGCATGTTTGTTTTTCCACTCTAGTACTTATATCACTTGTGTCTTTTTAAAAGTCTGGTCATGATAGTACAATTGCATTAAATTTATAAATTAACTTAGGCAGAATTGACAACTTTATAATGTTGAATTATTCTAAGAAAAATTATTTTTCTGTTTTTTCAAGTCTACTTTTATGTAGATGCACTTAAAAA